TTCTTCTCTCTGTCAGGGGGCTCTGGTTTCATTTAAAAGGACTAAACACCAGATATTGTCCAAAATTTACAATCAAGAGTAGGGCTGCACCGATTAGTTGAAATACTCGATGACGTCGATTATGTAAATTTGTCAAAAAATTAAACAGCCTACAGTATTTTTACAGTCTTGTTTTAATATTTGAAGTAAATGTTTATCAAATAATGTCTAATGTTACAACTAGTCGGAGAGCAATTTAACATTCCTGCTTTGGCTTTGTTATATTTAAGGTTGAGATTTTTATTCAGAGTCATCAGCGTTCATTTGATCATTACAAAAAGCATACTCATCACCCTGCTTTGAATAAAAACCAGTTTTTTTTAAATAAAAAAAAATACGTTCAGGGAATGCATCCAATTTGTAATGAGTCACACAGCACTCAAAAGTTSATTTTGGTTTAGATGATTGGCTTAAAGAGGTTTTTTGAACGTAGGTTTGTGTTACAAGAGTAATAAAACGGGAGTCRTCCTGAATCAACATGTCATGTCAGGTGCAGCTGAATGTTTCTGTGCTGAGTGGGATCTGGCACAGGTGGCTGGTTGTCGTGAAGCCAAGCAATTTCACAAGCCTTTCCCATCTGCTGTGGCCTCCTTAGCATACGATTTGCATCAAGAAGAGCCTGTGTCTTTCAGACATTATCACCATATTGAGCCACTTGTTTGGTYCTTTCACCAGCAGCGTGATCAAAAATGTTCTCAGGAGAAATTAGGAAAGTTCTTGTCAGCGCCTGTTTGAAGTGTTTAGAGGTTAGAGACTTTAAAAAAAAAGCTGCAGTAAAATCTCTAACTTCAAGTGGGAAATAATTTTCTGTTTGAACTTTTCAGCTTCTTCTCAAAGGCTTATGTTGCTCAATGTCCCGCCAAGTGATGGAAAACCAAACGCCTCCAAGCCGGCAAAAAACCCCGTGTGTGGGACGAGGCACAAGAAGAGGCTAGCGGTACCCAGGGGGCGGATCTTCGGCGGCACCTCGGCCCTGCCAGGWATGCATCCATGGATGGCCGCCATTTACATCGGACAGTCCGATTTCTGCGCCGGCAGCCTGATCTCCTCCTGCTGGATCGTCTCTGCAGCACACTGCTTCTTCCGCAAGTACGCATACTGGGAAATAAAAAATGTTCTGATGCGGCTGAGCATTTCTGAGTCAAACCTCTATATGATGTGTTATTTCTGAACAAAATGTGAATATGTATAAGCAGTCATTAGTGCCTAAGAACAACTAAAGAACCTWTTTTACTCTTTGGGAACTACTTTTACAAAGCTACAATCTGAGATCATGTTCTAATGGAAGCATTATGTTTGGTCTTTCAGATTGTTGGAGTTATTGAAAATGAGACAGTTTGAGTGTTTGACTCCTTCAACACAAGAGTTTCAAAAACACACTGTTTCAAACAAGTAAAACACAAAACCATTAAAGGGCCTGTGACATGCTTATTCTTCAAACACAAAAAGTCAAAGAAAACAGTCATATTTAAGAAAATTAGCATAATACACACGATTTTACCCATTTTTTCTCATAACTGGCCTATTTTCTCTTGAGTTTGGCTCAGCAAAGTGAAACAGGAAGTGACATCAAAGGGGAACTCTTAAGAAAAGAAACTCTAGTCTTTGTTTATTGAAACAATATTATTTAAACTCTTCTTCAACTCTGATAGTGACTCAAAATAATCTAAAAAAACATCGGATTTGTCTCTAATTATTGTAGCAACGTTCTGTTCACATTCAGATATTCCCCTTTGACGTCACTTCCTGTTTCTTCACATGCAAATATCTCAACAACTGTTCATCTCAATGGCGGGAAATTTGTTTTGCAATATGTTATCAATGTTGTCTTTCCAAAAACGCATTAACATTTATTACAAAAATTTGATGTCACAGGCACCTTAAAAAAATTACAGCAGTCGTCCGTAGTATCGTAAAATGGGCATCTTTAAAGATTTAGGGTTAAAGATCTGAATATGCCTTGTAAACACAAAGTCAAGCTTATTCTCTGTTGGGGTTCAATTCAATTCAATTCAAAAATACTATTGATCCCAGAGGGAAATTATATGTTGTTGTAACTCATTTAACTAAAGAGTTGCTGTAGCTGCTGATGGCTGTGGGCAGGACAGATCTTGTGTAGTGGTCTGTATTACAACCAAATTGAAGAAGCCTCTGAGTGAAGACTCTGTTTCTCTATGACAGTCAGATGAAGAGGATGGTCAGGGTTGTCCACAATGTTCTTAATTTTATGTAAAAATCCTTCTTTACACCATCATCTCCAGAGGTTTCAGTCGTCCCCAGAACAGAACCAGCCTTCTTTATTAGGTTTTAGGTCCCTGGCTGTGATGCTGCTGCCCCAACAGATGATGGCAAAAGAGATAACAAAAAAAAAAACTGTGGAAAAAATGGTCCTTTTTAGATGCCACTTCACTGTTTGATATGACTGAATGAAACGTCTTCCCACAGCCCCCTGAGATCTCAAATCCGCGTGGTTCTGGGCCAGCACCACTTCAACGTTACGGGCCCCAACACCCAGACCTTCGCAGTGGAGAACTACATCTTTCCCAACCAGTTTTCTGTGTTTAACCCCACATCACATGACATTGGTAAATACACAATCACACACATRCCAGTGACTCACATAGACATGATGACCTCTTGGTCCCGGTTTAAAAAATAATCACTGAAGCTCCCCTCTCTGTGTGCACAGCTGTGTGTCATTGAGCAGCTGTGTCCCTGCGCTCCCCCTCCTCATCCACACACACACACACACACACACAAGTTTACATTTACCAGTATGTACTTAGTTGGACCGTTCATTGACTTCCATTCATTTCCAGTCGTTTCTATAGCCTAACTCCGAAACCTAACTCTCCATCCAAAAATGGAGTTCCACCATATTTGGACCAGTCTTATAGTTCCCATAAGGACTACTGGTCTTGACAAGTTAGGTGTGTAGAAACGGTCTTAAAAAGGTAACAAGTCCACACACAGAGAGAGTTGGGTGTTGCAGTTACAACATAACTTATTTCCCCATTTGCTAACTTTTTGTTTCTGTCAGTTCTGATCAAGCTGAAGAAGCAGGACGGGCACTGCGTGAAGAAGACCCCGTTCATCAGGCCCATTTGTCTTCCGGAAAAAAACACAACCTTCCCCGCCGGCCACTGCTGCGCCATCAGTGGCTGGGGCCACGTGAACGAGAGTGAGTGTCTGTGAGGAAAAGGCACAAACTCTGTGTTTACACATGTGTGTGTGTGTGTGTGTGTGTGTGTGTGTGTGTGTGAGTGTGTGTGTGTAAAGAAAATGCATTCCTTGTTTTTGACTCGATTGCACAGATGCGAGCAGTTACTCCACGCTGCAGGAGGCGGGTGTGAGACTAATCTCCGACGAGATCTGCAGGCACCCGGGAGTTTACGGCAACCACGTCACCTCCAACATGATCTGTGCCGGGCTGTCTGAATGTGCAGACGCTTGTCAGGTAGGGGAAGCATTTGGGTGGCAGATGAGTAACATTAATGGTAACTCTGCCATTTAAATAGAACCTTAAGAAATTTTGAAATGACAAAGTTGTAACTCTTTTGCAGGATCTTAAGCAATAACATGGCTACTACCACACCAAACTWTAGCTCAGTGTCCAGTGGTGGGCACAGTTCCACCAATCCGCTAATACTGGAACTTGCTTCTTATGTAGCAGATTAGCTTTATTTCTATCACTTTGAAAATCGTTAGCGCACCGATTAGCTTTCTCTACATTAGGTTCCATTGATTTTAAGTCCACTAAAATATTTATATATGCAAAACTTCTGTTTTTACCCTGATTTAAATAAAAACTAGCTCCTCCTACAAGCAGTGTGGGACGTGTCAGGCACCGTGTGTGATCGTTTGAAACAAAAATAAAACTAAATAAATGGGTTCAAGGGTATTTAAACAATCAAATTCATGAAGTTTTTATGAAGACATGTATTACATAGGAAGGAGCTAATAAATTATGTGTATATATTTGAATAACCTATTGGCTATAAATATGTATTAAAACATAAGTGTACTAATGAAGCAGACATGGAGAAGGTTATTTYAGCAGAGTTGGGTGGGAGGCACCCCTCCCTTTGCTAAAGTGGTTAAGCCCTGAACTTGAAAGAGCCAATGAGAAAAGACACAACTTAAACCAAGAGGAAGTTACCCAAAAGGGACATAAACACATGAATTTTCTCCTCAAATAAGGCATAAACAACGTGTTATTGACGTGTTGTTCGCGAGTATTTGACATGTCGTTTACGCATCAAATACATGTAAAATTTTGACTTGCAAACAATTCGTAAACAACACGTATTTTATGCATTGTTTACGCGTCAAAGTAACATGAAATGTTCATGTGTATTTGGACCAGACCTTTCCATATGTGTGTAGCATGTAGCATCTTTAGCAGCTAAACTGAGTGTCAAAAAGAAATAAAATAACATTTAAAAATATATACAATATACAAAAATGTACTACATATAAAATATGGTACAAAAAGCATTTGCTATTTGTTGTTTGACTAACTTTAAACTATATATATAGGGTTAGCTTCTACTAATTATGACCCCCGCACGCGAAGTGTAAGGGGGAGTCATATTGTTTTGTACTGTTTATTTATTTATTTATTTA